AGTTATATGCCCAAGAGATAGAAAAGCACATGCCTGTTAAAAGACAATATAACACAGCAATAAAATGAACTATAATATATACATTAATATGCACAAATATACAATGAAGGAGGCCAGATAGTAATCTTTAAAGTATTCATTCATTAAGATAAAATTCAGTAGCAGCTCAAGGGAAGACATAGTGCTGGGAATCACACTGATAGTTCTCTCTTTCTGTGGGTCTAATGACTGGGCTGGTAGAAATGCTCTTTTTCCTTCATCTGGATAGTTATCTCCAGAGTAAAGCCAAGCCAAGCTGTGGGTACTGTGGTACAGCAAGTGAAGCCACCATTTGAGGCATCTGCATCCCATTCAGAGAGCCTGGGGGGCAGGAGGGTCCTACGTTCATTTTCAATCCAGCTTCTTGCTAATGCACTTAGAAGGATGATGGCCCGAGCACTTGGTTCCCTGATATAAATGTGGTAGTCCCAAATGGAGTTTCTAGCTCCTGGCTTTGGCCTGCTCGAGCCGTGGCTATTGAGGGTATTTGGGGAGGGAATCAGTGGATGAAAGATATTTCCCTCTCATTCTTTCAAATAAATATTTAAAAAGCCAAGGCAAATTAAAAAATTTCTTAAAGCTGCACACTTAAATTTTGTACATGCTATTACGCAGGAAAAAAAAAGTCAAAAGAATGATAAAACACAATCTGAAGATCCAATAAAAATGGCAGACTATATAACTGAACCACTATTTGGAAGAATGCCTTTTGAAAAACTGGTCAGCTTGCTTTGGACTTTGTGTAAGCACAAAATAAACCTTGTTTTAAAGCCCCCTGAGATTTAGGGGTGAATTTGGCATCCTGGCACATTCTAATCTTTCTTGGCTAATATAGCATTCATCACTTCCAAACTGCCAGTGCTTTGGCAGCATACCAAAGGAGGCTCTATCTCTCACAGGCTAAAGTGACACAAGAAAGGTTATACATGAGTGTATAAATAAAACTGAAAATTTATTAAATGATGAGGTGAAAATCATCTGATACAAATGAGGATATTTGTTACCATATCCATTTTCTCAGTCGAAACTGATCTGCATGGGAAACCTAACCATAGTAAGTCCTATTTGGTGCACCTGTTCTCAGATGAAATAAATGTTTAATGACATCTTCCCAAGAGAGCCTGAGAATCCAATTCATGGTGAGACAGTTTTGTCAGTGAGTCAGAATGCCCGAGGTTGTTGGGCTGCAGTTCTCACTTCCAGGCTTGTGCCTATATTGCCACAGTGTCTTTTGCTTTTCTTCCAATCCTATCAACACACTTCTTCAGAAGTGCTATTGTATTAATTTAATTCTTTAGACAGATGTGGCTGAACTCTGAGACATTCCTTGTATGTACAAACTCTTACCTATTACATATTGGTTTTGTATTTTTTTTTCTCCTAAAGAGTGATTTTAAAGTTTCTAATTTCCAATTGTGTGGTTGGAGTGGTAGGGAATCTGAAAGTCGGGAGGATAGTGTCCCTAGCCACAGCTTCTAGGTACTGATAACATCATCTAATTATCAAACACTAGCAACTCTAAGCTCATTGCAACTTCATATTTTCTATGGTTATTTGAGAGTAATCTGTGCAATTCTTGAAAAGTGAACAAAAAGGGATCATGGCTATGTAGTGGGACAAAGTTGGTAATGCTATTGCCTGTCAAAATGTGGAAAATAGAAAAAAAAAAAATCCAACATCATGATGCATTTGGTTAAGTAAATTTCCAGGCAAGGATACTGAAAGTGCTAACTGAATTTGTAAAAACTACCTGATCTGATAGAGATGAGATACAAATGGAATTATTAATTTTTAAAACAGGCTTTAGTGGAAATATAAAGAATTTAAAATATTTGAGTTACAAAATAAGACCGTTTTCATTCCCAGCCTCTTCATATGGAAACAGGTTCTGAAATGAAGGTATCTGCTTAGGAGAAAGTTCAATCTTGTTGCAGCTTTCAGCTTCTTTGTTAAGATGGCTACAGACATTTAAAGCTGTTCCTCCTAGACCTCTTTGAGCTATACCAGAGGGTGTGTATTAGCAGATGTTACCAACAGGGGCTGAAGCCAGCTGTCCAATCCAGGCACTCTGTTGCAGGATACAGATGTCTTCACAACTAGGTCACAGGCCTTCCCCTTCCATGGAGATTTACCAATCTCTTCTTGTTCTGGAGGCTCTACAGTGCATTAAAAAAAAAAAATACTCCCTGTTCTTTGAATTTCAGAGTTGTCTTCAAATTGTCTCTTGACATTCAGCCTATCAGCATTGCCATCTTTGGCATCAGACACAAAAGAATTTCTGTTATCTCTTCTCCAGTTCCTTTAAGGCTTAAGCCTTTACCTAATAATCAAAATAAGCTACTTAGGTTGTAACTGTAATTTTTATATCATTTAGTATGAGGAATGAGAATTGCATGATTTACTGGTAACAGCCATATTCATTGTTCGATGATTAAAATGCTATTCTTGGCCTGTTCTTTTGGCGTAATGAGTTAAGCTACCAACTTTGATGGTATCATATGTGACCCATATGAGTGCTGGTTCGTGTCCTGGCTGCTCCACTTCTGATTCAGCTCTACATTTATGGCCTGGGAAAGCAGTAGAGGATGTGGGAGACCTGGACCAAGCTCCTGGCTCCCAGCTCTAGATTAGCTCAGCTCTGGCTTTTGTGAACCATTTGGGGAGTGAACCAGCAGATAGAAGAAATTTTTTCCATCTCTGCTCTCTTTGTAAAATCTCGCTTTCAAATAAAACTAAACAAATCTTTGAAAAATTGCAACTGTTTAAAGTACTGTACATCTAATTTGATCATTTATTAATTATATTTTACTTTCTTTCAAATATCTGTTGAGAATTTTTGGATGATGTGAATTGTAATTTTTCCCCCCTCTTAAAAATAGGTTCTTATTTAATATTTTCACAATGGAACATAGTATTTTCACAGTAGGACATAGCTACAATGTTGTTCCTGTAACTTCTAGAAAATTATGTTCTGTGTTGCTGGTGCTCTCACTTTCTCAATTGTAGACCTTAAAAATTTGCAATAAACTTTTCCCCCATTTCACCACTGTATACTCCACTGTGTGCTGAGGGGAGAGATAGCATGAGAGCCACACCTCGTCCCGCGGAAGACCCTGGGCCTTGAATAGGATGCAGCAACTTAGCTGGACTTTAGATTGTCTATGTATCAGAGTATATTCATCACCGGGAAAAACGATTTGCCCAGATGTTTCATTGGAGACCTAGGACTATGGCACTCACTGCTATTTGACCCAAATACGTTTATTTCATTTTTGCTCTAATATGAGACCTCAAATGTTAGTTGGGCATTTCTCCAAACAATAAAACGAGACCATACATTTATGTTTTGCACCCTCTCTTGCAACTAGTTGTGGTTCAGTGACTAAGTTTGGGCTAGCAGTTGTAAGGAATGGCTCGTTAGGATCTTGCGGGAACTTTTCTTAAGAAGGGTAAGTATGTCCTTCTCTCCCCCTGTCCAGGGTCTTCCTGCCTAGCACATAGATGTCATGGTGTGTGAGGCAGCCATTTAATTAATCAGGGCGGAAATCACAGCTAAGAGTTGGTGGAGCAACCAATCAACGAACGCCTAGAAGACATGATGGTGATGAAGTCACGATCTCGGCTCAGAACTGCCAGTGTTTGTTTACTCAGAGAGAGAGAAGCTTTTATTGTGTGTGTGTTTTAATTTGAAAGGTAGAGATAGAGATGGGGATGTGATAGGAACTCCTTTCATTCACTGTTTCATTTCCAATGGCGTTAAGAAATGTCTCCAAAAGCCTGAACATTCAATCCAGCTCTCCCAAGGAGGGGACAGAGCCAAGTACTTCAGTCATCATTGCTGCTTCTTCCGGTGTAATTAGCACGGTTGCTGGAGTGTCAGCAAAGCCCATACTTGAACTCAGGCACTGGATGTGGGTTGCTGGGCATCCTAATAGCTGTGTAAAAGCCCGTTGCAGGACTTTTCATTAGAGCATCCCTCTCATTTGCTTTGAGCAATTCACACCTTGTTCATATTAGCTCATTTTCTTGCTTTTGTGTCTTCTTCCTCTAGGATGTGTTTTACGGAAACAGAAACTAGTTTCCGACTGTCTCTTTTGTTCCCACCTGTCTCTCTCCAGGGGTTAAGTTAGTGCCTGGAAAAAACAGTTAAGTATTTGTGTGGAAAGAATGAAAAAGATCAGAACAGGGTTGCTCTAATGGTAGGAAAGCAGTGTCTGTAAGCATGTAGAACTCCAAAGAGACTGGAAGGTTACACCTCGCTCACACACTGACACTGAGAGGGTCTGTGTCTCAGAGGCTGTGGTGTGGCACCCTCCCACCAGCTGTGCGTTCCACCACATCGCTGCTGCCTCTACTGCAGCTAGTATTTGGATGATGAGCACCTGTCAAGGATGTTTTAGGCAGAACTGCTCGGGAGTTTACGGTCTGACTCTAATGGCCCACACAGTGGATGTGAATGTGGCTGATTTTTCGAGCTTTCCACTCATCCAGCCTTCCCAGCGTTTGGAAAGCCCAGACACTGGGAGTAGATGGATGTTACCAGCAGGTAACCCGAGCACTGTGGTGGTGGAAGCAGAGGGCTTAAAAAATCAAGCTTTCCTCGCCCTCTTCTCCCACCAGCTCCCAACAAAGCGTAATTTCCTCCATTACCCTCAGCTCTGCTTGGAAGGCTTCGAGAAGACAGAAACTGAAGTACACTTTAGCCCAAAGTCACCTACCTCTGCGCACCCGCCGGAGAGCTCCCGTTCCAGCGCAGGGTGCGCGGCCACGGAGCAGGCATCGCCGGCCCGCGAAGCGCGTGATCTCGGGACCGAAGGCCGCCGCACGCCGTCCGCACCCCGAGCCCGGCCGGCTCCTCAGGGGCTGCGCGCGCCCGAGGCCGCGGGAGCGCGGCGGCCGGCCTGGGGGAGCGCGCACGCTCCGCCTCTCCCCTCCTCCCGGGTGCGCGTCCCGCCCCCTCGAGCTGCGATACGCCGAGCGTTCAACATCCGAGGACTTTGGCCCAGAGTAACCCCGCTGGCGTGACCTTTCCCCTCTATCCCGCACCTCCCGCTGCCCGCCCCGCGAGAGGGCGGCCGTTGGCGCGCTCGGCTCTTCTTCTGGAGCCCCAGTTCTGCACCCCCCCTTCCCCCTTGGTCCTTCGCGCTGCACTTCGTCATGGCGGCCCTCAGCAAGTCCATCCCTCATAACTGCTACGAGATTGGCCACACTTGGCACCCTTCCTGCCGGGTCTCTTTCCTGCAGATCACCGGGGGCGCCCTGGAGGAGTCCCTGAAGATCTATGCCCCTCTGTACTTGGTGAGACCCGTCAGCGAATCTCGTAGGGGCGAGTTGAGCGTGGAGGATGGGTTCGGGGCTGCTGCCGGCGCCCCCAGCGGCTCGCGGGGACTCACCCTGTGCGGGTTTCTCTTTGGAGGGTCGGAGTGTGGAGGGGAGCGGAAGGTGTGATGGCGCGAGGTCGGAAGGGTGGGTATTCCGGCTCCTGCGGGAGCAGGGGGGAGGGGAACGTGAGGTTGAGCTGTCATCCGAAAAAGCCTGTTGCTAGGACGAGGATGGACTCCCAACTTTTAGTGTATACTGGAGGACACTTAAAAAGCTTGAATTCAGGGGCTGGCGTTTTAATTTTTATCTTCCTTTTTGTTTTAACTGTCTCCCGCGTTATGATGGAGAGATGTTTGTAGGTCTGTGAGACGTTGAGAATGGTGTGCAGTCTTTAATTCACCCTCATATTCCTCCACTCCCCTCCACAAGAAAAACGACATATTTGATCCTAAGTCCCGTGGCCTTAGACTTGTCTCAGGTTGTGGCTTGAGCGTTGTGCAAGCAGTCTTTTGTGTGTGTGTGGTGATTTAAGGGTAATTGATGAGAAACTCTAGGGCCTTTTATTTCACAATTTTACGGGCAGGATTGTTAGTAGAGACTATTTGGAGTTACGTGTGTATGCAACTGAGAACTGTTAAAGATGTTTTCAGTAACTTCATCCTTGGTATTAAACATTTACTTGCCCAGTGAAGTTCATCGTGTCTCATTTTCTTGTCTTAAAGAGCCTGTGTTCTAAGAAGGCAGACGTCATGTTTTATGTATATTACCTAAAAATTCCCATTCCATATTGAATGGATTTGCAATTCTTATTTGTTTTTGGAGTAATAGTTTTAATCTGTAGTCTAATGTACCTGGAAATTTTATGGCTATCTGTGTGGGACTATTTGAAAAGTCTGATTACTTAATTACAAAGATAAACAGGAAGAGATGTTGGCATTCTTTGAGGTTGCAGAAGCCAGTTTCTTTTTTGTCATACAGACCAGTGCTTCTCAAACTTCAGTAAGTATTAAGAATCTCCTGGGGACCTTGTTCAAGCAAAAATTCTGATTCAGTACATCTGGGCGGAGCCTGAGCATCTGTTTTTTTTTTTTTTTTCTTTTAAGATTTTTATTGGAAAGTCACATATACAAAGAGGAGGAGAGACAGAGAGAAGGATCTTCTGTTTGATGATTCACTCCCCAAGTGAGCGCAACAGCCAGTGCTATGCCGATCTGAAGCCAGAAGCCAGGAACTTCTTCTGGGTCTCCCACACGGGTGCAGAGTCCCAAGGCTTTGGGCCATCCTTGACTGCTTTCCCAGGCCACAAGCAGGGAGCTGGATGGCAAGTGGAGCTGCTGGGATTAGAACCAGTGCCCATATGGATCCCGGCGGGCACGTTCAAGGCGAGGACTTTAGCCACTAGGCCATGTCGCCAGGCCCTTGAGCATTTGTTCTAACAAACTGGTGCAGGGGACCCTGCTTTGGGTAGTGAGGATCTAGGGAAAAGGCCAGTTATAAAGTTAGTGTTGGAGCTTGAAATTTCTCCTTTGACTTTTTTAATATAAGAATTTATTTATTTTTTATTGCAAAGTCAGGTTTACAGAGAAGGAGATACAGAGAGAACAGAAAGGTCTTCCATCCGCTGATTTACTCCCCAAATGTTCGCAACAACCCAAGCTGAGTGATCTGAAGCCAAGAGCTTCTTCCAGGTCTCCCATGTAGCTGCAGGGTCCCAAGACCTTGGGTCCTCTTGGACTGCTTTCCCAGGCCACAGACAGGGAGCTGGGTGGGTAGTGCAGCAGCCAGGACAAGAACTGGTGCCCATATGGGGCCCTGGTGCTGGCAAGGCAAGAACTTTAGTCTCTCGGCTACTGTGCTGGGCCCTCCCTTTACTTTCTTTGGCAATGATTAATGTTTATCTGATTTTCCATATGACTTGTGGCCCGGCTGTCTCAGATATTTTATATTAGTATAATAGAATGCCGAACAATTTACTGAATCCCTGTATTTGGTTATATAAAATCTATTATCAACTGATTTTAATTTAGGAGGGTAGAGATTTTGTGTCATGTAAAATTTTGTCTCTGAAAGCCTAGCAACACTTTCATTCATTTATTAATTGTTATATCTGTAACCTAGACAATTTATTGGTTATGTTCTGTGTTAGAAAGCTCAGGGGAGCAGCAGGAATATAGATTCTGCTGTCGCACCTGCCTAAGGTGGGATGGAGAAGTCAGGAAAAGAGTTACGTTTACTGTTCTGTCTTCACCTAGATTGAATGTGCTGGAGCGTAACTTTCTCATCTCATGAGGTTGTCTGTCTCAGTATGATACATTTCCAACTTTGGGTTGCTACTCATCAGTGATTGTGAAATTAAAATCAGTGGAAACTTACATTTTTTTTTTTAAGTGAAACAGAACATCATAGAAAATGTTAGAGAATACAGCAGTATGTCATGACAGTTCTGTTTCAGTGTGTATGTGAGTGGGGCTGCTTTGAACATATAGCAGCTCTGTTCTTTGTACTTGATCTAAGTATGTACTCTATAATGCAAGGTGATGTGAGAACTTGGCTTTTAAAGGGGATTAGGAATACTTTATTTGAATCTCCATCAGTTACTAGTTGTTTAATTTTTTGGCATGGTCGTTTATCTTTTCTTGGTGTGATAATTAAATGAAGTAATGCATTGGTGATATATTGTATATTTCCTGGTTACAGTAAGTCATGATAATGGTGCATTTTTTGCTTCCTCATTTCCCAGTAGCTTTTAAGTTAGAAGTGAAGTTCATTGAGAGTGGTCAGGAGACCATTTGGAGGAAGTGACATTTGACTTGGGCTTTGAAAAACAAATGAGTAGGGTCCCGGCGCGGTGGCACAGTGGTTAAGGTCCTCGCCTTGCACGCCAGGAATCCCATATGGGCGCCGGTTCTATCCCCGGCAGCCCCACTTCCCTTCCTGCTCCCTGCTTGTGGCCTGGGAAAGCAATCGAGGATGGCCCAAAGCTTTGCACCTGAAAAGAGTCTCGAAAGAGTCACCTGGCTTCGGACCGGCATAGCATCGACCATTGTGCTCACTTGGGGAGTGAATCATCGGACGGAAGATCTTCCTCTCTGTCTCTCCTCTCTGTATATCCGCCTTTCCAATAAAAAAAAAATTGAGTAGACAGTGTTTCATGTAATAGGTATTAATAGAATAATTATTCCTAATGAAAGGGGGGAATTGTATGAATTGATGTAGAGACCTAAATGTTTTGTAAGAGGAGCAATACATACATTGTATAAAACAGATAGTTTGTGTATATAAATAATATAAATACATAAGTATAAAAATAATTATGCACAATCTTTTGCATGTTTTATATTTTTAAAAAATTATGTATTTTCCTTTGGAAATCTGATTTTACGAACAGAAGAGACAGAAAGAGGTTTTCCATCCACTGGCTTTCTCCTAAAATGGTTGCAGTGTCTAGAGCTGAGCCAATCTGAATCCAGGAGCCAACAGTTTCTTCTGGGTCTTCCACTTGGATGCAGAAACCCAAGGATTTGGGCCATCTTCCCCTGATTTTCTAGGCCATAAGCAGAGAACTAGATTAGAAGTGAAACAGCCAGGATATAAACTGGCATCCATATGGGATCCTGGTGAAGCAGGCAGAGGATTAGTCTGTTACGCCATGGTGCCACCCCATACATATTTTATCTTTTAAAATCACTACAGAACTTCATCTTGTCTCCATTTCAGGTTATTTTGAGTCAAAGGAGTAGCAAGTGCAAAGTGGTGCTTTAAATGACAAATGTAGCAGCCCTGAGTGGCGTGGGTTGGAATGCTTTTTTTTTTAAGACTTATTTATTTCTTTTGAAAAGTCAGGTTTACAGAGCAAAGGAGAGACAGAGAGAAAGATCCTCCATTGGCTGGTTTACTCCTCAAGTAGTCGCAGTGGTTGAAACTGAGCCGACCTGAAACCAGGGTCAGGAGCCTCTTCTTGATTTCCCATGTGGATGCAGGTCCACGTGGATGCAGTGGACCAAGGTTCAAACGCTTGTTCCAACTTTTGCTGTTTCCTCAAGGCATTCACAGGGAACTCAGCTGGAGGTAGAGCAGACAGTACTTGAAACAGCCCACATATGGGATGCTCGTGAGGCAGACAGAGGCTTTACTTGCTGTGCTGCAATGCAGGCCCTGTGTCACCGTTTGCAAAAACACCATTACACAGTGAGGAACTTATTTCTTGTAGTGATTAACTAGTTAATTAATTGGAAACATAGGATAACAGGTCATGTTTTCTGGTTCAATAGCCAAATGGCTGCCACAACTGGATCTGGATCATCCCAAAACCAGAACCAGGGACTCCATCAGATCTCTCGTATGGATGGCAGGGACCCAGACGTGGGCCTTCTGCTGCTGCTTTTTCAGGTGTATTTTTTAGGAGGCTGAGTTAGAAGCGGAGTGGCTGAGACTCAAACTATTGTTCTGATATGGGATGCTTTCACAACCATTGTGCCACATTGCTGGTTCCCTTATTTTTGAATGTTCCTGCATGCTTATAATATATGTTAATAACTTATTCATGTATCAAAAATGTGTTTTAGGAAGTTGTTTTATCTGTTGAATTTTAGTTATAGCTATACATTCAAAATAAGTGATAACCCCTTGCCACAAACATGCACAAAAAACGGTTGTTAAAACTGTTTTAATCCTAGACTGCTACTGAAATTCAAAGTGTAGTGCGCTTGGTTTTTGTAGCAAATTTAGAATACACGGACACACATTTGGGAGTATGGTTTTCATGCTGTCCAAGAAAACTTGCTCAGAACTTAAGCTGATTCTAAGACTGGCCCTTTCCTAGGTCCTTTTCTTCAGGATCTCTAGATGAGGGTTCTGGCATTTACTGGTAGCTGGATCCAAAGAACATTGACTCTTTGGTACTCTTGTGAAGGATGATTTAAAACATACCTTTCATTGACAGTTAGATGTTAAGAACCTTCTTCATTAGTATGAAG